ATTGGCCCGTAACCGTTGAGGGGTTGATGCCTTGCATGAGTTTTTGTGGGGTACACGTGACGTAACCGCTAGGGTCGTAACATAGATCTTAGAGGGAATCTCAGATATTTTTCTCTAGCCATTTAGACAGAATTAGCCATATAAATATATATGATTTTAATACTGGGGTTAAGCCTGTTACTTAACTCTTCCTCCGAGGTCTTAATAACTACCTGAAAGGTCCTTGTATTCTGCTATATATATAGCAGTGCCGTATACTTAGTTGTAATACCTTCCTTAACCGCCGCTTTTCGATAATTTAGCCACTACCTATATAATAATATCTACCTAATTAATTACTTGCCTTACTAACTTTACTATAGTTAGCTCTCTTTTTTAATCTAGACTTTTTGCCGTTTAGTGCCAGCTATTAATAGATATCTACAACCTTGAACTTAAAGCTTAAAGTAATAGAAAACTATTAAGTATTATTATTATACTAGTATATAGTAATTAATACCAAGCTATTGGTATAAAAAGTTCTAAACTAAGAATAAGGCATTATAAAAGCATTACACCTATAAGAGGAGATAATTTAATAATTAAAAATATTTTTTATTTTAGCTTTTATAAGTTTTATAAAGTTAGTAAAGCCTAAATCTTTTTTTTTACCATTAAACCTTCTGTACTCCCTAATAACATAGACTTAATATTTACTAGAACCCAAGCCCGATTTTTATAATATATAATATTTTACTAAAAAGCTTATGGCTTAAGTTATATTAAGCCTGTGGGTGGCTAAGGTTTAATCTTAGGTAGTTAAGAGAGCTATTAATATAAGCAGGCCTTGCTTTCTCTTTTAATGCTGTAATAAATTAGTCCTAAGTAGAAAAGCTATATAAATAGCTATAGGAGAGTAATACTTTAAGTCTAAGCCCGTATGTTAGGTAAAAGGTATTTCTGGGATTGAATTAATAATTTATCTTAATTGAATAGTGTAATGAGTGACAAAGCCAGAAGAATAAATACAAGATTAAGTATAAGGTTATTGGCCTAATGAGCGTCTCCCTACTAGTCTTCCCCTTTCTGCCGCCACTGTCTCCTCCAGAGTCAATCTTATACTCTTCATCGTTGCCGTTTAGTCCTTGCACTCGCACTTCCAGCTCCTCCAGTGCTGCTTCTTTTTGCCCATAGCCTTGAATGCTCTACTGCCTCCAATCGTTATGCTGTCACCAGGCTGACAATCGGATTTCTCGTATACCGTGCACTCAAAGCATGGCACAAGCGACTTAGTGCCTCGGGAATCAACATCAAAGTTATTGACATTCCTTGGGAGATTTTTGCAGTCGCCTGGTTTGCCAAACCCAGTGAATGATTTACCATGCCTGAGATCGAGTCTGATCAGGTTGATGCCTGCCTCACACCGAGGTGCACGGGAATCGAGCATGTCGCTGTCGTCAATAGCGGCGGCATTGGCTACTCCAAGGCCCAAAGCGACAAAGGGAAGAATAGAAGGGAAGTGCATTGTTAACTGTCTTGAAGTTGGGTTTGTGGCTCTTCTTCTCTGAGATGTATTTCTTGAGATGCTGTAGTTTGCAATGAAGATTGGTTTAAGATTGTCGGGTAATGCCTAAGTATTTATAATAGTCTGTCTCTGCACTCCCCTGCCACATGCATTTTCTCTATCTTTTACATTCGCTCACCGGCTAGTTTTCAGCTTGCTATGCCACCCTTTTTACTGCGAGCTATTAATAGCGATACTTCTCCGTTCGTAAACGCTGAGGACTGGTTTGGGCTCAGCCTCTCCGTGCTAGAGCCGATGCAAGAGAGGCGCAACCACCACTAGGCAGCTGTGACGCTTTCATGCTGTTCCATTATGGCTTCACTGTCGTCCAATAGAGGTCTAGAACGGGTGAGTTATTTTTAGTCTACCCTTGTTACGTATCAAATTTGTCATTTTTATTGATCATTCCACAAATTAAGATAGAGAATGAGGGATGGCTGACGGGAGTTTCGCCTACTGGTAGAGCCCCGATTAGTAAAAGGTGGCTATAAAAAACACTGTAGTCAAGGTCAGATAGTATGACAGCTGACGCTACAGTATCCCCTCCACCTCATATCTATTTCTGAATACTTTCCCTACCCGTGTAAGAGTCATGCCCGTGTAGCCAAAACGTCATGCTCGTATAGCAATTCCCTACTCAAGTAGTTGCAACCTCTTCACTAATACGAACAATTCTCCAAACATTGGGAATGTAAGCATTTCTCCTCGAAGTTCACCTCTTACTGTGTTATTTATAATAGTTAAGGGCCACATCCAGAAGGTAGCAACCTCAGACGGATGTTAAGTCCCTGCAGTTGGCACAATTATAAGGGGTGATGAATGCTGGTTTGGATTAATAAACGCGAGAGTTAGCAGTTTATTAATTGGTGTACCGAAAATAAATGTCGAGATGCTACTTAAGGGTAACAGCCTAGCCATCTTTACTTCAAGCGGAGCTCTTATGATTATCCTTGGTGTGAGTAACTTTTTATAGGGCCCAAGAATAAATACTGTGAGAGGGTGGTACTGTAGGCTTGGTATGGTGTAGTGGTGCTAGCATATTTGCATTATATCTCCTTGAATTTTCGGATGCTTATGCTCCGACCCTTCCGTACAGCTGTCTTTATGGAATACAGTGTTTATCACCCGCTTGCACGCGGTTGGTTCATTGTCGTGAGGGTGTTATGTAAAGCACTAGGCTAGTGGCTGTAAAACCCATGAAAATCAAATGTGGGAGATCTACAGTATGGAACTTAGTATAAACCATTCTTATGTTTCTCTACATGTCGAGGGCCCGAGGCATCAAGGAGATGGCATCCAGAATGCTGCACCTTTATTAAGAATTAACTTTCTGCCACTTTGGGAGGACCAATAAGGGCTCGTGGTTGTATGCCGCTGTGACGAAAATATGTGTCGCCCTGCTACACCACAATCTCGGCTCCCACTGGATCCGCCTTGGATGGGAGGCTACCTGCTGTGACCAACCAACCTACACGTATTTCATAATACTGTAAGAACTCATGAAATTCGACCCGACCGCTGGATTCCCTTAGTGGCGGGCTAGCCTAATTCGGCCAGTTACACGATGCGGCTCTTCCCCGCATATTAAATCGGCGTGCCGATAATCTTCTGCATGGGCATCTTTATTACCTCAACCCATGCCTCTATAGTTAAATAAAGATATATGACTTCGTCGTCTATACCAAAATGCTCCTCGAAGAGCGCTCTATTAATATATCAAAGCCAGGGCAGGCTGTCCCACGTGGTCGCAAGAAACCTAGCCTAAAAGTCAAGCCGATCCAGGGCTGCAAAAATAAAGTAGAAAAGCCTATTATACCTCCTCTATGTAACTATATTTTAAAGTCAATATACCTATTTAGCAATGCATAAAGTAAAGCTAAAGGCATTAAAGTAAGATAATAAAACAAGGTATTTATTTTTAATATAATATAATATAAGGTATTATATATTATGCTAAAAAATATAATAACCTTAATATTAAGTCTTAGTAGATTATATAATTACTGCCTTAAACCTTAAGATCTAACTAAATAAATAGCCTTAATCTATAAGTATAAAGAAGATATTTTCCCTATCCTTAGAAGGCTAAATACCTTTTCTATTATTACCCTATTAAGGTAATTACTACTAAGGCTTTAATACTAAAAGGCTATATTAAAATAAACTAAGAACCTTAACTTCTATTATAAGATATATTACTATATAATTATTATTAATAATAATTAACCTAGCTATAGCTATTTAATCTTAGTAATTAATAATTATATAATTAATCCTTTAATAAATATTAATAGGCTTAAGTTTAAGTATATCCTTATTTTATATTCCTTTTTATAGTATTATAAAATTATAAGAAAATACCTACTATATATTAATAAATTACTACTAATATAATAAGTTAATTTAATAATCTTTAGTTATTAAGTATAGCTCCTTAGTATTAAGGAAGATATATTCCTTATTAAATATATTATAAGCCAGATAAAGGCATTAAAAGACCTAGCTAATTACTTAAAATAAGATTAAAGTATATTAAGGTAATAATAGGCCTTTATTAATAGTATTATATTAGGTAGTAATAATAGCCTATATTAGGCATAGTTTATAAAGTTAAAATATATAATTAAGTTAATTAAATTAATAATATAAATATTTTATTATAAGAATTAAGGGCTATTATAAGATAAAGGAAGAGAAGTAAGGAGGAAAAGAGGAGGAAAAAGGCAAATTAAGAAAAAAAGGTTTTAGTATTTAGGGAAAAACTATAAATATTAGTAGACTAAGGTTAGCTTAGTAGGTTAATAATAAATTAGATTAGGTTATAAGATAATATAATAGGAGAAATATAAGTTAAGGATAAATATAATTAAATAATACTTAGGATATAATTATATATATTAGAAAGCTTAATTAAAATAAATAATTAATATTCCTACTTATCTTAATTATCTTTAATTATAATTAATTAATTATATTAAATTATAAAGTAATATAATTAATAAGTATATAACCTAGATAAGTATATAACCTAAAAATCCTATATCTTATAATATTTCTATTTAATTAGATACTTCTTAACTATTAAATATATCTTAATTATTAAATAAAGCTAAAATCCTTTTTGCCTTTTAGGCCCTTTAAAATAACCTAAAATTAAGTACCTAAAAGGTAATAATTATATATAAAATTTATTACTATATCTTATAATACTACTAAAATAGTATTTAATTATAATATAATTTTATCTTAAAGTTATAAAAACTATTTAATTTAAAGAAATAAATAATAATTTAATTTATTTTTAATTTAAA